AAACTTTGTAGCACAGTGGCCCTTCAGAACTACAACATAACTAGTTTCTCATCCCTGCTCACGAATTGGTTTGGTAAATGAATGGTAAAAGAATGGATGTTGGGGTGTGCAGCAAAGTCGATATCTATAATTGTTGTAATGGCAAAATAATTTGGATAAAATGTTGGCAGGTTTTAAACTGGAAGTTTGTCCAAAATATATGAAAAGCCTGTTTTAAATGTATTTCTGCTCCCTTGGCCTCCATAGGTAATATAAAACAAATACACCTTGTATAATTCATAAATTTATATATACAATTATATATAGAATTTCTGTAAATTCTGTAGTAGGGCATTGATGTGTGGAATAGGCGGGGCATGTTCCCACTACTTTTTTGCCAATTTTGCCCCCACAAACCTTTGAAAGCTATTTAAAAAATAGTTTGTGGAACCCATGTACTGTACAGTACAACATAGAGAAAGCATCTTTAATCCCTCATTCTTCATAATTTCTGTTTCTAGCAGGGGCGTTTCCTCAGAGGAGGCAAAGGAGGCAGTGCCTCCTCAAAAAAAGCAATTGTACAAAAATAAAACAATAGGCATATTACAAAATATGACATAATAAAAGCATATAAATCACTAATTTTTCTAAAGAAACACTGTCCAACAGCAACACAAGTGGGTAAAGTTACAGCGGGAGTCCACGACTCTCTCGTCTCCCCTGAGCCCATTGAGTTTTATCAGACCCCCTAAAGCATGCGGTGGGTTTGGTGGGGGGTAATTGAGAAGGAATGGGGGAAAATCATGTGAGAGAAGCCTCCATTGCGATATGATTGGATATGACTTGTTATGATTGGCTATGATTGGTTCATGCGATAAATCCCGCCTCTTGTGTTCGTGCACATTCCTCGTTTGCGAATCAGTCTGAATAATTAATAAAATATATAATATTAATAAATATATAAAATATATATTGTTTAAATTGTTACTGCTTTGAGTTATTATTTTGGAATAAATGTAAAATGCTTAAAAACACTAAACTGATAAGATTTATACTTGGTTTTAATGAATAGAATAGCCTATTAATTACATTGTTTATGTAAACATACAAAACAGATTTTTATTCTGGTAGTGTAAGTAATGTTTACACTTATGCACTTACTTTCATTCAAGAGAGTTTGCACATTCGTTTTTATATACTCACTATTTCATTGTATTTAAAATATCGTGCTGCAACCTGCTTATCTAGTAAGAACAAGGACTGACTTCATCTATTATTCGTTTGAATTTGTTATTCATTTTGAAGTCATTATTCGTGCCTTTATGATTAAGATATTCAGCTTCAGGGCACATTTCTAAGGAATATATAGTTAATCAGAGAGATTAGTTTATTAATGCAGTTCACATGGTTGTAAAGCTGAGTGTGCAATACAATAGGTCAGAAATTGTGATTTAGCATTTTGTCACGCCACACGGCTAATCGTTAAAAAAAGTACCTCTTTACCGGAAAAGCTACACTATTATTAAAAGCGCTGAGCTTCTGTCACACTTGTGAATAATGAGATACAATTAGCAGCATTGCTCCTTTTACTCCCCAACGCTGCCACTGGGTGTACAGTATTTATATTTACACAACCATTTAGCAGATGCTTTTATTCAAAGTGACTTACAAATGAAGAAAATATTTGTGGGAGTAAACCAGAGTCATACAGTGCATTTGTTTATGGTTATGGATTAATTTTATGCTTTATGGAAGATCAGCAAGAAAGCTTGAGGTAGTGTTTGAGACAACAATGTGAGACATTAGAAAATCAAACCTGGTCTAGTAGCGGCCATCAAGCTAGCATGATTAACCTTCTGCCGATGATCCAGAATTAGATGGGATGCCTGATCTTTAATCAGCTGAAAAAAGGCCCACATCACCCCTGATGGTCTCACTCCTGTAGCAGCTTGCATTAAAGTCAGGGCTTTGGAGTCGACCTTAAGAACTGCCACTGAATCACTTTACAGAGGCTTCACCCTCTCTGTTCCCTGTTTTAGCTGGTTGAAGGCCAGATGTGCTACCATGCTCTGGATCATTTGCAGGTTGAAACCCTTCCATAACAAGTTGCACCGTATCATGACAAAATGCTACATTGTGCTGTTTGGTCACATTAGACACAATTGTAAAGCCCAAAGTACACTTCACTTTTTACTCATACGCGAGGGTCAGCATACAGTGCGTATTTTGTTATCAGAATAGTACACGGAACACCTTATTTTTCTAACCATGCACATGTGCATTGAATTTGTTTTGCAGTAAGCAGTTGTTCCACAAGGTGGCAACACTCTTCCGGGCCATTGTTTCATAGTAGTAAACAAAACTAAAGAGACGGAACAACAACTACAAAATAGCAGAGACAGCAACAGACGGCCCCATTGACAGGCGCTTGTGTGAGAGGGTATGAGATAGCTCAGCTTTGGTTTAAAAGAGTACAAAGATATTTTTTTATCGTTATAACTTCTAGAGAAAAATAGAGCAGACACTGGAAATAGATGGAGCTTTCTAGAGTGCATGTGTCAACCACTTGTTTGCACAAAAATATAAAATAGAGAATACTTGCTACGTGTTCAACTGTATGCATATGCTAGCATACACGTACAAAAATTATGTATACTTTGGGCTTACCTCTACAACCAAGCAAGCATATTAAGCATACTGCTCTAGCATGTCCTCTGTCATATGTGGCAATCATTCATTGTACTGAATCGGTTCATTTGGTTAGTTTGTCTCTAAACACCTATTCAAGGGTTCACCATTTCATACAGTTCCCAGCCATAATACCATAAGGGCCAGATTTACTAATAGCAAGCTCTCTTTTGGCAGGATTTACAAAAGACACGCAGTGAAAAATTAGCACTGAGAAGACGTGGACACAGATTTTTTTTTTTTTTTTTTTTTGGCGGCTGACCTTATTGTATATGCATCTATAGGAGTTTCCCTTTCAGACTCAAAATGTATGGGAGTGGGAGGAGAGTATTTAAATGAATCACACAATATGATTTACTAAGTTTTGCCATAGTCAATGTACTGGTATTTGTGCCATTATTTCGTGCCCCAAAAACGCATTGATAATAATAGAATGATAATTGGTAGATTGTGTTGGTCATTATGGAAATTAGATGTTGTGTCTGTGTTCTTTAATTTGCGCATTGTCAGTAGATCAACCGCAGAAATTTCCACTCCCATCAGCGCTTTAATGGGATTCAGGGCCGGTTCTAGACATTTGGAGGCCCTAGGTAAAATTTATGTTGGAGACCCCCACCCCCAATTAAAAACACTTGAAACAAATATGATTCCTCACCTTTTTATTTATACAACATTTCATTTCAAATGTTGTATATTTGTATTTGTACAGTACCAGTCAAACGTTTGGACACATTACTATTTTTAATGTTTCTGAAAGAAGTCTCTTATGTTCATCAAGCCTGCATTTATTTGATCAAAAATGGAGAGAGAAAAAAAACTTTAATATTGTAAAATATTGTTACAATTTAAAATAATGGTTTTCTATTTTACCATAATTTAAAATATAATCTATTTATGTGATGCAAAGCTGAATTTTCATTACTCCAGTCTTCAGTGTCACATGATCCTTCAGAAATCATTCTAATATGCTGATTTATTATCAATGTTAGAAACGGTTGTGCTGCTTAATATTTATTTTATAACCTGTGATACTTTTTTCAGGGTTTTTTTTTTTGATGATTGAAAAGTAAAAAAAAAAATAGAAACCTTTTATAACAATATAAGTCTTTACTATCACTTTTTATCAATTTAAAACATCCTTGCTGAATATTACTGTTCTGTATTTTTGATCAAATAAATGTAGGCTTTATGAGCATAAGAGACTTCTTTCAAAAACATAAAAAAAAAAAAAAACATGTGTCCAAACTTTTGATGGTAATCTATGTACATATTAATCAAACTTTATCAAAAGGTAATCTCTTTTTTGTTTGTTGAGGATGTTATTATAGCCGTGAAAGAAACACACTCAAGGCTGCACGCTCACATGAAAATATGGCGGGTGTGTCAGGGCTCTGTCACAAAACCACGAATAAACTAAACTGAAGTGACAGAACCCTGAAACCGTCTCAAAGCCTGAGGCCCTAGGCAATTGCCTGTTCTGCCTATAGGTAGCGCCGGCTCTGATGGGATTGCATTCTCACTCTAATTTGCATTGTTTAGTAAATCTTGCCCTAAGTTTTTATTTGCGCATTACCTAATCTGCCATGACTTTAAACTACTTGTAATGTAGCAAACTACTTTGGCTTGACTGTAGTTTAACTACTGCTGCCTTCAAGTCCACTTGGGAAGTTTCTACTTACAAGCTCAGAAGTCATAATTATTATGTGATGTACATTCAGGTGAATTTGGTGGAGGAACACATGAGCATATTAGTAATTGATTAACTTTGCAACACTGACACTGAATCAACATTGAACTTACTTGAACTGAATAATGAAACTGTTGCCTTTTGTAGAGCTGCTTTATAGTGAACTGAATATGTTTCATAATTGATGAACTTTGCAACATTGACGCCGTTATTGAACTGAATTGAATTGACATTGAACTAAATTGAGCTGAACTGACAGTACACAGCAAATTTGAAAGTGTTAAATTAACACTCACAGTGAGAAAATTAACACTTTTTCGGGGTTTATATAGGTCCACACTAAATAGAGTTAAACTATCACTTTAAATAGTGTTATTTTTTTTTACACTTGCATAGAGTAAATACAACACTGTAAGTGTTCACCGTTAACACCTTTAGTGTTTTCCCTCCCCCTCATTTACACCAAGTTAGTCTTGAAACTACACTACGTGTGTCAATATCTTAACACCAAGAGACTTATTTCCACACTAATATAGTATTCATACAAACCCTGATTAAGGTAATTAAGTGTAATCTGTATTCAACTAAAAATTCCTGTGCATTCGGTGTAATAAAAAAATAAATAAAAAAAAGTCAACACGCTGTATCAGTTTGAAATTTTATTTTTAACACAGATGTAACTATTACACCAACACAAAAGATACAATATATTCACCATCATCTGACCCATATAAATACTGCAGATCAAAAGGCCTGTAGAACAAGCTGTTGGCTTTAGACACCAGGGCTTCCTTGTAGGACAGGTTGAAGACAGTGAACTTTAAAAAGTTCAAAGGCACTCAAGGAGCTGGTTCCAACGCAAGGGATGAGGCGCTTGTCCACAACGACGTAAAAGTGGTTGATCCTGCCCTTAATCCTTCCTGATCTCAGTAAGAATGGCTGGTGGCCCTACCTCCTGCTGAGACGGCCTTCAATACTGGTGCAGGACTGAAAAAAAAAAGCACAAACAAATTAGATTAAATAAACCAGGGAAAAAAAAAATAATAATTACAATGTGAAATGATAAATGCATAATTAAAAATTAACACCTATATAACACATCTTAACCCAATACGTGCCAAACAAAACCAGTTGATATCATGCTTTCTGTATTACAGCGAAAGGAAAATGTCATTAAATTAATTTTTAAACCCCCACAAAAAGAAAATAAAAAAAATATTGCTGATACACCCTCAGTCAAATCAAGCTAGGTGACTGACTGAATGACTTCATTAGAACACAAACAAAGAGTTGTACATGGATATCCGAGAGCTGTAGATCAACATAATGCAAGTGAACACGTGCAATCAGTTAGAGTCCAAAAGGAACATTTAGACACATTATGCCAGTTATTTTCAATCCCTGTCCTGTGGACCCACCGCTCTGCATGTTGTATGTCTTCCTTATTCAACAAACCTGATTCAGATATTCACCTCATTAGGTAAGAGCTCCATGAAATAAACTAAAGGGTTAGTTCACCCAAAAATGAACATTTTGTAAATTTACAGAAAAGGTTGTTACCCACAGGTTGTTCCAAGCCTGTATACATTTTTGTACTGCTGAACACAAAGAAATTTTGAAGAAAGTTTGTAAACAGGCCACTTTGTACAGACATTAACTATCATAGTATTTTTTTAAATTTTTTCCTACCATGGAAGTCAATGGCTGCCCAAAGCAGCCAGTTTACAAACTTTCTTCAAAATATCTTTGTGTTCAGCAGTACAAAGAAATGTATAGAGGTTTGGAACAGTAAATAATGAAAAGAGTAAATGACAATTTTCATTTTTGGGTGAACTATCCCTTAAGTGTGTCAGGTCAGAGAAACAAAATGTGCAGAGGGGTGAATCCCAAGGACTATGATTGAAAACCACTGCATTTAAACATTCACAATGACTTTGCAACAGTATTGTTAGTTTTACCTTATGGTAATGCACAAGTCTGTCACCAGCCTCTGTTGGACTGATCTTAGTCTTCTTCCTCCCTGGAGCAGAAGGCAGGAGATGCAACAGCAGCAGGACATATGACATGTCACCGCCCCAATCTGAATGAGTAGATGTTTAGGGGGTGGTTACTTTTTTACACTTGCATAGAGTAAAAACAACACTGTAAGTGTTCACCGTTAACACCATTAGTGTTTTCCCTCCTCCTCATTTACACCAAGTTAGTGTTGAAACTACACTACGTATGTCAATATCTTAACACCAAGAGACTTATTTCCACACTAATATAGTGTTCATACAAACCCTGATTAAGGTAATTAAGTGTAATCTGTATTCGACTAAAAATTCCTGTGCATTCGGTGTAATAAAAAAATTTATTTAAAAAAGTCAACACGCTGTATCAGTTAGAAATGTTATTTTTAACACAGATGTAACTATTACACCAACACAAAAGGTACACTATATTCACCATCATCTGACCCATATAAACACTGCAGCTCAAAAGGCCTGTAGAACAAGCTGTTGGCTTTAGACACCAGGGCTTCCTTGTAGGACAGGTTGAAGACAGTGAACTTTAAAAAGTTCAAAGGCACTCAAGGAGCTGGTTCCAACGCAAGGGATGAGGCGCTTGTCCACAACGACGTAAAAGTGGTTGATCCTGCCCTTAATCCTTCCTGATCTCAGTAGGAATGGCTGGTGGCCCTGCCTCCTGCTGAGACGGCCTTCAATACTGGTGCAGGACTGAAAAACAAACAAAAAACAAATTAGATTAAATAAACCAGGAAAAAAGAAAAAACACTAATTACAATGTGAAATGCATAATTAAAAATTAAAAATTAACACCTATATAACACATCTTAACCCAATACGTGCCAAACAAAACCAGTTGATATCATGCTTTGTGTATTACAGTGAAAGGAAAACGTCATTAAAAATCCTCACCCCCCACTCCACAAACTTAAAAAAATAAAATTAAATAAAATTTGCTGATACCCCCTCAGTCAAATCAAGCTATGTGACTGACTGGCTTCATTAGAACAAAGTTGTACATGGATATCCGAGAGCTGTAGGTCAATATAATGCAAGTGAACACGTGCAATCAGTTAGAGTCCAAAAGGAACATTTAGACACATTATGCCAGTTATTTTCAATCCCTGTCCTGTGGACCCACCGCTCTGCATGTTGTATGTCTTCCTTATTCAACAAAGCTGATTCAGATATTCACCTCATTAGGTAAGAGCTCCATTAAATAAACTAAAGGGTTAGTTCACCCAAAAATGACAATTTTGTAATTTACAGAAAAGGTTGTTACCCACAGGTTGTTCCAAGCCTGTATACATTTTTGTGCTGCTGAACAAAGAAAAATTTTGAAGAAAGTTTGTAAACAGGCCACTTTGTACAGACATTAACTATCATAGTATTTTTTTTTTCCTACTATGGAAGTCAATGGCTGCCCAAAGCAGCCAGTTTACAAGCTAAACTAAAGGGTTAGTTCACCCAAAAAATGAAAATTTTGTAATTTACAGAAAAGGTTGTTACCCACAGGTTGTTCCAAGCCTGTATACATTTTTGTACTGCTGAACACAAAGAAATTTTGAAGAAAGTTTGTAAACAGGCCACTTTGTACAGACATTAACTATCATAGTATTTTTTTAAATTTTTTCCTACCATGGAAGTCAATGGCTGCCCAAAGCAGCCAGTTTACAAACTTTCTTCAAAATATCTTCCTTTGTGTTCAGCAGTACAAAGAAATGTATAGAGGTTTGGAACAGTAAATGATGAAAAGAGTAAATGACAATTTTCTTTTTTGGGTGAACTATCCCTTAAGTGTGTCAGGTCAGAGAAACAAAATGTGCAGAGGGGTGAATCCCAAGGACTATGATTGAAAACCACTGCACTTAAACATTCACAATGACTTTGCAACAGTATTGTTAGTTTTACCTTATGGTAATGCACAAGTCTGTCACCAGCCTCTGTTGGACTGATCTTAGTCTTCTTCCTCCCTGGAGCAGAAGGCAGGAGATGCAACAGCAGCAGGACATATGACATGTCACCGCCCCAATCTGAATGAGTAGATGTTTAGGGGGTGGTGCGCGATTTAGGATAAAACAAAAACAAACATTTAGTGCTCCCAATAACAAGAAACCAGAGAAAAAATATGAAATTGACCCTCACAAATCATGCCAACCATTTTCAGATCCTTGTCCACCTGCTGCATTGAGAAGACACCAAACTTCTGCTGTTGAAGTAAGAAACTGGGCTTCATTGATGATCTTTTGCTTGAATGCCGCCTCCCACCTCTCGAGAAGCTTGTTGGATGTTTCAGCATTGAATAGCAGAGCAAAGTCCTGATATTACAAGATTTCTAAGAGGTTACTTTTTCATCCTTTACCACCAAAATGGATAGTGTGTGCATGTTGTTTTGATAGACTAAGACATCATGAATGTGCAAATGAGTCAAACATAGTAATTAAAGTATTTACTTGATTCATCCTTTACCACCAAAATGGATAGTGTGTGCATGTTGAGTCAAACATAGTTAAAGTATTTACTTGAATTCTTTCAAAATCTATCACTGGCATGTACGAGCGAGAGAAATAAATCTATGAACGAATGAGTCCAAGTAACAATCATGTCAAAGAGTAACCTTATAAGATACTTAACAAAAAGCAGGCATATCTAAAACACACTTAAAACCTTTATTCTCCTTTTCAAAGAATGTTTTATTTGCCAATCCTTTTACATCCAAATATCTTGGAAAAACATCAATGACGTCGGCTGATCTTTCAGGATTATGTACCAGTTCTTGTCTATTAGGGCTGCACGATATTTAATGCGCATCTCGTCAAGTTACATAAATCACAGAAATGACCTTGTTATCTACCCCAGATTCTAAAATATAAGAAAACTTACGTTTAAAACTGCTAACTAACAAACAATTCCATTCTTACCTCAATTTGCTTCCTAACAAGTGGTGCAGCTAAATGGCCTCGAGATGCTGTCGGTGGTCTGTCGCGTTATCTAAAAAAAATACTGTTAGCACTCTTGCAATGTTGAGAAATGTACTAATATTATTCTGAATGGTGAGGAACGTAAACTAAACATGAAAATTGGTCAATTTAAGTGGCTATAAAATATTATACCTGTTTGAACACTGTCCTCTCCTCGTGGTTGTCCGCCATTAATCAAAAAGGAAATAATTGGATCAACTCATCACCAGTGTCAATTATGTCAACTCGCTGTAATTACACTGACTCTGACCACTGATTTACACTGCAAGTGTTAATGCCATTCAAATCAACACCAGAATCAACACTTTTTAACTCTGATAAATTAACACCATAAAAACAACTCTAAACAAAACTGGATATTTTGCTGTGTATTCTCTAAAGATCTGGATTACAGTTTGAAACAGTTTCATAACTAATTAATTTTAACGCCGTTATGTTCCTTTTTATCACTGTCAAGCTGCTTTGAAACAAATAATGTGCATTAGGTGTGTAACTGATGATTTATCTGTGTATTCAATCATTCTCATGCTGCCAAAGAGAATGATGGGAAATGTAGTTTTGTTGTGCAATCCTGTCACCTCATTAAGCAGCTAAATGAGTAGTTTTATCTGGAAAGCTTCATCGCTATTCTTCATCAGCGTTACATAACAGAGGTAAAAGATAATTGCACAGTCAACATACACAATTAAGACTTAATTATGACCAATTTGTTTCCGTCATGATTCTTTAATCGACACGCCTTCAACTTAAAAAGTCTGAAAGAAAATTCTGAATTTCTCTTTGGTAATTACATTGTGGTGGCATTCATGTGTGTTCATCTCTTAAATACGGTCATTCTGACATGACATGAAGACAGCATGCTTTTAAGTAGTTTGTTGCTAGGAAAGCTGTATTAAAGTTTCAAAGTAACTTCCCCAAGACTGTAGTGTAACATGGTGAAATCATGAACTTGGACTTATGCCGTATTAACAAATGCCAACATCTGTCTCAGATGATTGCTTTAGTTCTGCTCTTGATTCCAGCCTTGTTTTCACTCTTCCTGTCCATTGTTACTTGTAGACATGCACAGTTCAGCATCATAAGAATGGAATAAACTTGCAATAAGCACCACACAATGTTTATTTCCATTTGCACATTTTGTCCATATAATGTGATACTGTATTTTCTTTTCTTTTTTTTGGAATACTTACAATGTTTGTGTGGGAGTAAGGCTATGTTTGATAATTGAACTGTGAAACAAGCATGTTCACAACCATTATTGGTTATTCACAGGTCAAATATTTAGATGTGATATTTTAATACTACAGCATATTAAAAATGTTCTGCTTCCCAGCGATATGGATGTTGAAACATCCTTTGAAACGGGTGGGTGCACTGCTCTATGCCTGTGAATGTGTGATACTGACTCTGGGTAGCTGAGGAAACTTTCATTGTGTCCCAGTTTGAATCCATCCTAAATAGTATGTATGGAAAGTATGTATTTATGCATGTATTTATTTATTTATTTGATTGATTGATTGTTTGTTTGTTTAATTTAATAATAACAGTTATAATTATTACATTTATTTATAATTCTGTAATTTTATAAAATTTATAATTTATAAATTTGAATAATTATTACACTTGTATTAATAATTACCTGCCTGTCTGTCTCTTTGTCTGTTTATAATTTCATATATAAACTAATTTAATTTATATAATATAAAATAGTTTGTCTGTTGATTTATTCATTTAATAATTCTAAATATTAAAATTGTAAGAATTGCATTTAATATATGAACATGTAATTTAATGTTAATTTGAATTCTAAGGTACTCAACACCGACTTGATAATACTCATCTGCCACAATTATCTAAATGTATCTTTTTTTTTTTTTTTTCAGAAGTATAGATATATGCGATTATGGGATTAGCATTTTATGTAATACCGTACATTTGGCATCGTTCAGCTCTAACTGAAATACAGCACTGAATATTATAAATGTGCATCGCCATCGTCATAATGGACAATGGCTCTGAATGTTGTTGATATTGCTGATGTTTTACAAAATGTTCACCACTTTTGTATGCATAAGAAATTTCCCTG